CAAGAGGAGAATGGAGAAGAAGGGATTGCGGCGTGACCATCCCCCCTGGGAGGTGATTTCTCGCTTTCTGTCTCTATGTCTCTCTCTGTCTGTCTGGCGAGCGCATGTGCCCTGTAGTGAAAACCTCTCCAAAAAAAAAAAAAGAACAGTGAAAGAATGAACCAGAAATCCAGAAATTACTGGAATCCTGCATAGGAACATCAGTAAAACTATTTACTTATAAACTTGTTTCGTATTTTAAAAATACTAAATTTTACATGTATTTATGTGCGTGTATAAATATATGTGCACATACACGAATATGTGCATATATAATAATTATATTTTTTTTTCAGTTCACTGAGCAACTAAGGGTTCCAGTCACAAAGATAATAGACTTTTATTAAATAAAGAGAATTAAGGTAAAGTTAATTCTGTACTACCTACCTTGTACCAAAAGGGAACTCTGAATACATGAAACACTGTTAAGTATAAAAACAAAGACAATGAAATAACTTTAAGGAAAAAAATGGGAATCTTTTTCTGACTTTTTTATGACAATTTACTTAAAAGAATGCTTTACAAAGGGAGAAGCTGGGACCAGCAGGTGGCGTAGTGAGAAGCCGTTATGAGTGATAAAAGTCCCACCTGCCATTCAAGAAACCAGACTCAATTTGAGGGGCCCATGCAGCTCCTGTCCTTCTTGCTGCTAGAATTTGACATAATTGAAGGAATTTTGGCTCCTTGTTCACTGTTACAGCTGTAATCCCTAGAACAGTGCTGGGCATATAAACTGGTGCTCAATATATATTTCTTAAATAAATGATATTTTTAGTGGTTTCTTTTTTAAAGAATTATTTATTTATTTTTATTCAACTTTATTTATTCATTCATTTACTTTAATATGACCAGAGAGAGCCAGAGAGAGAGAGCGAGAGAGAGAGAGAGAGAAAGCAAGCCACCAGTGCCTTAACCACCGTGCCACCGGCTGATCTCAGATTCTGTCTTTGTAAGCATTCTTTTAAATAAATTGTCATACAAAAGTCAGAAAAAGATTCCCACTTTTTTTCTTCTTAAAGTTATTTCATTGTCTTTGTTTTTATACTTAACAGTGTTTTCTGCATTCAGAGTTCCCTTTTGGTACAAGGCAAGGTATGTAGTACAGAATTAACGTTACCTTAATTCCCAAAGTATCAGAAAACTGATGTAAAACTATTTACTGAATGAATTAATATTTATTATAGATTTTTAAACTGTCACATTGTCATCATAATAAATTCTATTACATACTTTCGTTGTTTTGAATTCCCTACTATGTTCAATACAATTATGAATAGTCCTACAATATTTTAAAAATATTTTTCTTTGTAATCTATTTTATTTTTTTATATTTTATTTGCTATAGGGCATGAGTGCCCACCAGACAGAGAGAAAGTGAGACAATGTCCCCTGGGGGGATGGCCATGCTACAGCCCCTTCTTCTCCATTCTCCTCTTGGGATTTGGGGCATGCACGCATACACACCTGGCATGTTTTTCAAGCTGCCAGGTCTGGGACTTAAACCATGTAGTTGGTCATGTGGAATCCAGGTGCCTTAACCACCATACCACCTGACCTTTAAATTTTTTCTGTGTATTATTTTTCTCAAATTTTTAAGACAACATTAACCCTGGAAACCTGGCAGGAACCTAAAATGGCCAATTTTAGAAAAACTAGGTGCTGGTGAGGGGGGAAGAGAATTTTATATTGCAGTATATTAAAAGTAGAATTAAAAATTGGGCCAGCAAGATCCCGAGAGGAGAATGGAGGAGAAGGGATTGCGGCGTGGCCATCCCCTCTGGGGGGTGATCTC